GGGGGCCCACAGGACACGAGGGGGCGAGAGAGCTGTCCTGTTGCCCTAGCGACAGGCTGTGCGCTTGCTGTGATTGGTCCACCGCGCCCTGGCCTTAATGCTCCCGCTGCGCTCCGGGGCGCCCTCGTGCTCAATGAGCGGGCCGCGGTCGGGGGTGGGGTTCCCCGACGCCTCTGCTCTCTCCGAGGCGCCCCGGCTGAAATCTCACGTTGTTTCTCTCTGTTTCTCTCCTGTCTGTGTGCGTCTGCGGCGCCCCAGTCTCTCGCATAAGATCAGTAGCACAGTGGGTGGCTTGTGGGATAGCCTCAGGAGTGCGTTCTCTAGGTAATGCCCTGGGAGGCCCTCTCCGCTCGGGGGTGCGTGTGCGTGTTTGCGTGTGTGCGTGTGCGCTGCCGGTCAGTGCTCAGAGTCCAGCCTGAGCCACTGCATGACCTGTGTGTGCGGGGGGGGTGGTGGGGCGCAGGCGGGACCCCGGTTTGGATCCTCGCAGACGCTCGGAAGGCATCGGATCTTCTCGTCCCTTCCTGCATGTGGGACCCGCCAGCACCTCTGACCCGGGACAGCGAGAGGGTGGGGGGGGGTGGTATCTGTTCTGCTTGGCTGCCCTGCTCTCCCTCCTGCGAAGCCTCTCGCCGTGGAAACCGCCTCCTTCCCTCCTCTGTGAACCCCCCCGCCTGCATGGGTTTGCTCTGCCGGGGCTCGGTTCTGTACCCAGGCGCCGGTACCGAGGGGCGAAGAGGTGCAGGTCACCCGCCTGCACTGTAGGGGGCGCCCTGTGCGTTCATAGCGCTCGTTCACACCCCTCCCCCCCCCAGATCGTAGTGTCCGCGCCGGCTGGAGTCCTACCCATATCCCCTGGTCCCCACAGGGTAACCACAGCGCCGCCCAGAGGCCAGGGCAGCTCCTCCCGTGCCCGGGTGGCAAGTGTGTGTGGCGCCCCCTGCTGGCGCGAGTGTGCCTGGCTGTGCTCTTGTAGTCGTCCGCCGCTGCCCTGGCGCTGCTCTGAGCCCCTCTGCCCGCCCGCCCTTGGCACAGGTGTCGCTGCCCGGAAACGGAGTCTCTTAGTGCCTGACTGGGCCTGACCCATGTGGAGCACTGTGCAACAGCGCCGCCCCTGTGGCTGAGCCCGGGATGGCCGGGGTGCCCTCAGCTCTTCGTGCAACAGCGCCGCCCCTGTGGCTGAGCCCGGGAT